GGAGTTGAAGAACACTCTCGAATGAACAAGGTATTTGAGGGGGAGGTGGGGGTTAAGAAAGGATTTGGAAGTTTTGATAAGCCACCCTAAAATTGGAAGCTTCTCACAGGAATAGAAGTGTGCAGGTAAGACTCCTCCTGTGAATGGGACTGAAAAAGTCAATCATCCATCAGGTAATGGAATCATGGACCAAATTCATGGAGATGGCACAGAAAGGCTCTGACAGCTCTGTTGAAGACATAGAGGCTGATGCAATGCCAGACAGAAGAGCCATGAACTGGAAGATAAGATCTTGATGAATAAATCCAAGGAAACTTCTTGAGAACTCTGCAATGGGAATATGAAGGAACGCATCCAAGATGTTGAACTTGGTCATCTACAGTTTGGGTGAAAAGGACCAGCAGAGGGAAAATAAATTTTCCATACAAAATGAGGGATGACCATGTAGCAACTGAAAGAAGAAAGGTCGATGACCAGCTGCCAATCCCTGGTTTTTTGGGGACCAAGAAGAGTAAAACACTGGTGAAGGATCATGCACCTTCTCTATGGTCTGTTTGTGTAAGAGATTAGACACTGCATCTTTCAGACATTGAAGGTAGATGGGATCTGAGGGAAGTGAAGTGAGTGCAGGCTGAAAGGCAGAGGGAAGGAGAGGCCACATGAGAGGACAAGTGTGACCTATCTGTCTGTGGACAGGTGTTCCCAAAGATGTGCATACCTCAGCAGATGAGTGCCTACAAAGTCAAAGCCACTCCACTGAGTGATAAGGTCCTGATGACATGAGGAAGTCTGAACATTCTCCTCAACAGGGAGATAGATTCCTAAAGCATAACCAGGAGGTGGAAATAAATGGTTAAAGCAATCTTTCTCCTCATATTCCTTCTCAGAACAAGGGTAAGGAATGCTCGATGAACGGATGGGTGCCGAAAATCTCGGCTGCATAATGGAACTCACTAACCTATGCCCAATGGCTGCCATGTTATCCACACTTAAAAACTTGACTAGTGTGAGGATATTCTTCACTCACTCCAGATGTTGAAGTAACATGAACTTTGAAGTTCATAGTTTGAATAAATAAAGGAAACAATGTCCCTTTATCAGACTGCAAATTTCTGTAAATTGCAAGCAAAAACAAACGTGTCATATTCGAGCAGTGCTAACGAAAAAGAATGAAGATCACGAGTACAAAAGCATAGAGGGAGCTAGTGCACAAGGAGAATATGTCACCCTCCTATTAGTGGAGGACTTTTGCTGCATGATAACATCATTATGCAGTAGTGCGAATCATGAGAAATCTCGTGAGTTTAGGTGGGAGTTGCCTAAAGGCTAATGGCATGCAAGTCTCTTAGGTAGATGCACTGGAAAGATAAGAGTTACACAACATAGGTTTACAAATGCATGTAAATCAGTGTGTTTATACAATTCCAGAAAGTGTAGCTCAGAATAAGGATAGGTTGCAACAAATTATCCAATTTGATACCCTGAAGAAAATAAAACTTACACTGTTGAGTTTTACTTTGAAACTACCACACAAGTGTTGTACACAATAAACCACCAGTTTTTTCTTTTAAAGTATCTGCAAGTCATCTGTCAATGATAAAATAAGTTAAAGCCTATTCAAATTGGTGACAGGTGTGTAAAGGTCAGATTATAAGACTAAAAGTCTAAGATGTTGTTATGAAACTGAAACTATGGCAGTGACCTTTCACCTTTCAACAATGGTATGAAGTGTCAATGAAATGTGGAAGAGTATGAACATATGCAAGATTTAAAGGTTTTGAAGGGAAAATAGACAAGGAATGCAACAGAAAAGACCAGAGTGTGACCAGAAGTTTAAAGACGCATTGGAATAGCTTGGCACAAAGATAAAAGATTTAATGATTTGGACACTCAACAAATTTAATGATGTACAGATTTCTCATTGAAGCCACTAAGTTAGGCTCATAGCTGTTAAAAAATAGGTATTATAACTGACAGATTAGTATATAAGAAAAGGAAGTAAACGTAGGGATGGCTAATATCAATCCTTCAAACACAATGCAAACAAGATTGTATAACTTATTAAAGAGTTTTTATGCACCTGTGTTGCAAACGTTTTGTTTGTTTGTTTTGAATTTTCGTGCATCCCCCACAAGTTCTTCAAATACCTATAGAATGACAGGTTTCTTTTTGGTGAGTGTAAAACGTAAATACACCAGTTTGATTTTCGATACCTCACTAGTATGAAGGCTTGGTTTGGTCTGATATTTCATTGGTGGTAGTGTCCAGGGTCACTGATGAGGAGTGGAATTCCCCGAAACTAGTCTGGCTCATAGACACACACCCCAATGAAAGAATAGACCATTCTAAGCTTCAACTTGTTGTTAAACAAATGTTTAAACAACTCTAATTATTCAGTTATGTACCAGCTGTTCAGTGTTGGCTAACAATACGAAGAATTAAATTGTGGCGGATTGCTACAAGTTCTTCAAATACCTATAGAATGATAGGTTTCTTTTTAGTGAGTGTAAAACACGTAAATACACCAGTTTGATTATAGACCCATTAGTCGTATATCAATTGTGGGAAAGGTTTTGAAAAGTATGTTAAAAGATACTTTGAAAAGTCATTTAACATAGTTTAGAATTTTATTGGATAGTCAACATGGTTTCACTAATGGAAAATCTTGCCTTACCAATCTTTTGACATTCTTTGAAAAGGTTATTGCTTATGTAGATGAGGGTAAGTGTGTAGATTTGGTGTATCTTGATTTTCAAAAAGATTTGATAACGTGCCACATAAAAGGCTTGTAAAAAAAATTATCTTTATAGGTGTGGTGGATAAGTTAGCAAATTGGATA